ATACATACATACATACATACATACATACATACATACATACATACATATATATATATATATATAGTGCTGGGCAAGTTAACGCATTAATTAACGCCGACAATTATTTTATCGTGCGTTATCGCAGTTTTTTTTATTATTAAGCGACATTTTTAACACAAGAACCGTCAGCTGTTTGTGTGGCGTCTGTTCCTGTTTCCTTCACCTACATTCCCCTGGGTCCTAAGTCCCTCCATGTACAGCTTCTTATCACCCTCTATGTACCAACGTACATAACAAATACCACACATATTACGGTAATCAGCGTTGCATATGTGTCCAGTGTTTCCCCTACCATTCTATTATATATATACACAGTCTATCTGCAGTACTCATTCATGATGACAGATAATCGACTTTGGATGTACCCTATGTACGTGTTGGAGGTGAAATGCATGCTGGGATACGTAAGGTGTGCTCATCTCACCCAGGATGAGCAACAGCTCCTGAGCTCGGCCCAGAGCGAACACGGGGATCAGACAGCGGCCCTCCCGGTTCACGATGTCGTGGACGGTGTTACAGAAACGAGCCTCCCTCTCCTCTCGCTTCTCGTGGATGTGAGTCCCGTAGGTCGACTCCTGAGGGGGGGGGGGGGGGCGTTACAGCCAGGGTTTAAATAAAGTTTTTGTAATTGAATGAACACATCTGTGAGCTCCACTCACAGTGATCAGGATGTCGGGTTTAACGCTCGGGATCTCTGCTGCCATCAGATGTCTGTCCTCCTGACGGGAGAAGTCTCCTGTGTACAACAACTACACACACACACACACACACAGTCAGAAAAACTAATGTGTGTACGATCACTCGTCTTCGTTGAGACCAACAAAAGCACAAACGTTTTCTGAATGAAGGACAGAAGTGACTGAACATCAGGGCGGAGCCTCAGAAGCAGGACGCACCTTGACGCCGGCAATCTCGATCATAAACATGGCCGCCCCAAGGACGTGGCCGGCGTGGTAACACCAGAACTTGATGCCGGCCACCTCCTTCACCTCGTGGAAGTTGATGGTCTCGATCTTCTCCATGCTCTCCTCCAGGTCTGTCTCTGTGTACAGCATGTCATCTGCTGAGATGTTACTGCAACACACACACACACAGAGCGCCTTTAACCACACACACACACACACACACACACACACACACACACACACACACACACACACACACACACACACACACAGAGCGTGTTTAACCCCCCCCCACACACACACACACACACACCTGACTTTGACGTAGTCGGACAGCAGCCAGCGGTAGATGGCCTTGGTGGCGTGCGTCATGAAGGTGCGTCCTTTAAAGCTGGTCTTCTGCAGGAACCAGGGCAGAGCTCCACAGTGGTCCAGGTGGAAGCTGAAGAGCAACAAGCTCAATATTCACTCTGCAAACATCAGGGGGGGGTGTATGTGAGTGTGTGCGTGTCTGTGTGAGTGTGTGTGTCTGTGTCTCTATGTGTGAGAGTGTGTGTGCGTGCGAGTGTGTGTGTCTATGTGCGAGTGTGTAGTAGATTTCTTGAATGAACTCACTGGCTGATGAGCAGCAGGTCGATCTCAGCCGGGTCGATCAGGTCGATGTACGGCAGAGCGTCCATCCCCTCCAGACCGGGATGGATCCCACAGTCCAGCTAAACCACACACACACACACACACACACACACACACACGTGTGTTACACACTAGCTGGCGGTAACGTTTACAGCTGATGGGACCACACCTACCATGATCTTTCTTCCTTTGAACTCCAGGATGATGCAGGACCGTCCCACCTCCTGTCCTGCTCCTCTGGAGACAGACGCACGCACACACACACACACACACACACACACACACACACACACACACACACACTTGTTAATCAGGAGCACGTTCTGTTCACTACAGACTCGTTAAAAGTCAAAGTTTCTGATGTCAGTGAAACAGAAGAAGAGTATTTATGAATGAGTTCGGTCTCGTGAGTACCAACAGTAGAAACAGTATTAAAGAGTTTAAACTCAGCGGTCTCGTGGGTACTAACAGTAGAAACAATAGAAACAATAGAAACGTGTTTAAACTCACAGAGGTCTGATCAGCAGTTGGTCACTTTCCTCCGCGGGAACCGTGACGTCAGACTTACGTTTTGTCGCCATGGTTACTTTGATGAACTGATTAATCTTCTTTTATTTCACAAATACAAATGAATTCATCGCAGATACGCGCGTCGCCTCAAGTTTGGAAAGTGCGTCACTTCCGGGTCCTGCTGGAAAACCTGTCCGTGGAACAACCCGTGGAAACCTTTGGTTCCGCCTTCAGGTTTACTTTATCTTTATTATTATCATCATCATCATTATGAAAGCCAAACATGAACATATAGAAAACAAATATAATTTAAAAAATGTATATTTTACTCAATCAACACAATATAATAACTTTGTCTTAAAACAAGTAAATCTAAATGAGTTATTGAGTTTTACATTTTAACATAAAGATCAGTTTAATTATTAGTTTAGTTCCCCCACTGTCATCTCATGGCAACAATTTAACTTAATTATAAATACATATGTACAAGTATATATATGTGTATATTCTATGTGAATATTTGTGGTATCAGTGTATTTTATTAGTACTATTTCTACATCACTATTCATCTGATTATTTGTATTTATTTTAAGCACTTTGTAATCACTGTGTGTTAAATATACTTTATGATTATTAAGAATACGAGTTCAATGATTGTTATATGTTCTTGTGATCAAATAAAATGATAGAAATGTATTTTTGGACATGTGACATTCAGAGCTTTTCAATAAACTAGAAACGAAAGCTGTGGTGATGTTTGACCCGTTTTATATATAATATCTATATATAGATATTATACATCTACATATTGCATATATTCTGACTTTATTACTCTGTAGTCCTGACACACTTCATGTGAAGCTTCTTGTGACTTCACTCTGAATCAAACCTTTATTGATTATCATTAAATCTCCACAAACCTCCAGAAGGAGTGAAGAGAGTAGAGCAGGAATCATTATTTAACAGAGTAACTGATTCATTGTTCTTCAGAAAAACACTTAGCAAGACAGCATCAACTATTAATATTATTACATTAACAGTTAGAGGTTAATGGAGCTAAATCTCTGTGAGAATTTGCAGCTTTTCTGTTTTCTGTCACAAACTGAATGTTTCTGTTGGTCGAACAAAACGAGACATTTGAAGACGTCGTCAACTGTGAGAGATGCAAACAATCATTAAAGAGCTGAAATGAATAAAGAAGGCAGAGACGGGGTGAAATAAAAGAACAAAGCAGAAACGGAATAAAATGGAAGAAAAGAAAGAAAAATGGACAAAGAGGATAAAAGTAGAATACATTCATATTTATCACGTTCACTGTTAAAGGAGGATGTCATCTGCTTTTAATGACACTGTGCATTAGAAGTAAATGATATCAGACGGAAGGTTTCCCTTCAGCCAACAGCTTAAAACAAGTAAGACTGAAGTCCTGTGATGATCAGATGTGACCACTAGTCGGCGCTGTGTAGGGGGCTTGATGTGACACGAGAGAGAGAGGGAGAGAGAGAGAGAGAGAGAGAGAGAGAGAGAGAGAGAGAGAGAGAG